TTTTGCTGACACCAGGATTGAAAAGTTGATGTTTTATGGATTTGCTTATAGGATATGGGATGAAGAGATATCTGTTTGTACCCTTATAGAGGGTGAAGAGTTACTAAATTCATTTATACTTGTTGTGATGAAGGTTGGGAGTCACTTCTTTATTTATTTATTTATTTCTTTTCTTTTTCTTTATTATTTTCTCTCTTTTCTTTCTCTTCTTTCTTTTTTTTCCTGCACTTTTTATTCTGTCTTTCCTTTCTCTTCTCTTCCTCTAAGTTTAGTTTGCATTAGTTTTTGTAATTAAAATTCTTAATAAAATTATATTTTTAAAAAAGACACGTCTTTTGGTGAAACCACCCATGCAGTTGCTTGTGTTGCTTAGGATTTTTTATTTTTAAAACATTTCCTGGTCTAGCCAATATCCTTGGAATCCCCCAGTGATCCCCTACCCCAGTCTTAATCAAGGCAAACTCTGCTTAGCCACTGCCATCAGCCACAGTCAGTTAGGTGTTGCCATCAGCTGAAGTACTGAGTTAAGATAGCTAATGATAGAAATATTGGAATGTGCAAAATCAGTATATTAGATAATTATGTTTTATTTTTTACTACTGTAACTCATTGGCCCCAGTTGTTACATTCCATATACAAATACAGTGATTGTTTCAAATATTAAAGTATTATAATTTTGGTGGATTCTAGAAAAACGTATGTCATTCCAAATTCTGTCACTGATTTACATGAAGGGTGGAATCTGTGGTTCTCCAGATACTGTTGAATTACAGCTGCCAGCATCTTTGCCAAGGGGCAAAGCCACATCTGGAGGGCCACATATTCTCGGTCTCTTTTATTCTGTCAAGTATTTTAAAGAAAACTTTACTATTCTTTGTAGCTTGTTTGGTGGTGAAACATGTAATTTTGTCAAGGTTTGTAGTAGTCTGGATCTGTGGATAACACAAATGACTAGATCCTAAATATTTCCCCTTAATCAATAACTTGTGGGCCTTCTATGGATCCTTCTTTAGTCTTCTAGTTTGGATTAGTGACTGCTTCTCAAATGACAGTACTTTTAAGGGAGCCACATGGTTTGTATATGCCAAAACTGTCACTATGACTTGTTGCATTTGGCTAGCCAGCTCGGTTGCAGTAACAGATGTGCAAAAAAGGATCTTTGATATGTGTTTGAAAGGTTAAATGTTTTTTAATAGCCACCTTCTTCAAAATAACATCTAGAACTCCAGATGAATGCTTTATGCTATGAAAAAAAGTAGATTATAATATATTTATAACAAGAATAGGTCAATGGTTTCCTATTATGGAAAGGATAAAAGAACTAAAATCAATAAATCTACCCATCATAAATGTAGCTACAGTCTGCAACATTGGGAAAATTATTAGCAGAACCTCATGATGTCTGGATGTTATAGCTTGTAAATTTCTCCATACATATGTGTGTAGTTATGTACATACTCGCTGTTCATCCCCCTGCTAGAATTCTGTTAAAATACTCCATAGAATGTGCATTTGATTCTTGTTTTATTTTATAGAAAGACAAACAGACAGGCAGACAGACAACAGGATCTTCTGAATACATTGCTTTCTGGTATTATACTGTTTTTAAAAATCACCTGAAATGTACTTCTCTTCCCAGCTACAGGCAGAGAAGAACAATTACCAATTTCCAAATTCTTCATGTGTTGGTGAATGGGATTATTGGTTGATTAAAATCAAGGCAGGGGGGATGCATGCTGCTTTGCATGCCATGTTTTTGGCATCCCAATTGTTGACGGCGGCAGTCCTATGATGATTTTCCACAACTGACCACAATCGCAGCGTAACATTCTCTGTCTCTAAATTAGTATGAGCCACCCACAAGCTTGCAGGAAAGCAGAATCAGAACCTTTCTGATTCTGTGTCAGGGCCTTCATGTGGCTGCTGCAAATGGCTTTGGTATAAATTTCTGCATGACATTGTCATGTACCAATACTTGGCACTGGACTGGTCAAGCAGCAGTTCCCTCTTACCTAGGAGGTTGCCAATAAAACACTGAACATAAAATGGATGCTTATGAATCCTCATATGTTAATATATCTATAATTGGCCATGGGAAAGTACTGGGGAGTAAACATTCAGTTTTCTGGAGTTTGGTGGAAAATTAGCTAGCACTTTCAAGCCTAGTTCATACACTATTGCTATTTTTTTTAGATCGGCTAAGTTTATATATAAACATGAACTTAGCTGCTCTGAAATGGAAGAAAAGAAACTGACAATCATACAGAACAAAACAACGGATAGAAGAATGGAAATTATGAGTAAATATGAAATAAAATAATTTTCATGCTCAGAGGCCAGCACATTGTTTTTAATAGTTGTAAAAATAATTCTTAGACCTTTACATTTTCTGTTGTTAAGCAATACACTAAATTAGTCACTATTAGGGACATAAGCTTTTATCAGGCTCTTAAAGTGACTGTTTGGTGATGCAGTCAGTTCCCCAAACTAGAGCAAGTGGGACAAAATTGGAATGGATGAGGTTTTAAAAGTTATTAGGAGTGATAAATCTAAAGGAATTCCAAGTTGTACACTTTCTCTCTCTTACAGTACTACCTTTAAAGATTTTTAATATTTTCAGAAATGCAGCTTATATAACATGAGGAGGCTTAAACAGCCTTTCAGACTTCATTTAGCTTTCCTAGCCACCAGATACTGGAAGAGACGCATTTTTAAAATATATTAATTTTACTATTTAATATTATTTAATATTATAATAATAGTATTAATATTAATACTATTTAATATTTAATATTATTTTTATATTTAAACCACCTGATGCAAGAAGAGGTTTCTGCCTCAAACTTAGTATTCTATAACGGCAAATTAGATTTAGGAAACAAACTGCAGTTTATATGTAAATCTAAGTTTTGGGAACATTAGTTTAATCTTTTCCCATCTCCCCTTTCTTTAACAAGGGCCAAACATTAAAACAGGATAGGAATCTATGTCCTGTATGCTATGCAGAAAGGAAATACTGCCCATTAAAAGTAGGAATAAATTAGTTCACGTTAGTTAAATTTGCATTTGTTACCATCCATTGCATTCAGAATAGCCCCTCTATTTTTGTTGGATTAGGTTGTTAGCACTTTTCTCTCTGAGAGCCTTTAATTGCCCTTGAATTGGAATCAGACTATAAAGACATTGTTGATGGCTCCTGAAATTTTGGAATGCTTTGCTCATAATCTGCACAGACGTGACCTTGCTTAGATCAGTTCTTTAGGGCTGGAAACCATTACACTTTTGCATATGCAGATCCTTATTCCTTTGTAAAGTTAACATATAGTTTATTTATTTGTTGAATTTATATCCCACTACAGTCTCATGATTCTTGGAGGTATACAGTATATTCAAGGAAAAGGTTTAAGACAAGCATGGTAAGAGTAAAACAATCATAAGCTAAATAAGGAAATTTATTTATTTATTCGATGTGTATAGCCATAATCATAATCTAATCATAACATTAACCCACATATACCATAACAATAAAAGAAAGAAAGAAAGAATGCTCCCTGTAAAAGCTCAGATCTGAACAACCTTCTGAAGCCATCAAGGAGGGGGCTAATTTGACCTCTGTGGGCATCAGGTTCAGGGCATTGAGAAAAATGTGAAAAGAGATGGTGATTAGAGAGAATTTAAAAAGAATATGCTTCCTTATTAAGGTTGGATATATCTGTCTTAGATACAATTTTATTTCTACTTAGGATGTCTACAAAAGATGGGTGATGGGATGCCTTCTGGATGAAACACACACAAATAACGAATCATGGGCTAGTAGTGGCAGGACCAAGAAGGTGTTTGGGCTTCTAGCCTTCTTCCTGAGGACACCTTATGATAGGTATGTAAAATAAAGCCACTATAAACAAAAGACAATGCCTTTGCTGCCAGCTTACGGAATTGTAGAAAGACAAAGGCTAAAAGAGTTCCTTGCAGTAGAAAAATAGAGTGGAGCTTCATCAAACAGCAGAAAGACAGGTTATATCCTTTTAACTTTCCTCAATCACTCCTGTTCCAAATGCCTTGATGATTACCCTAATTTTGAATTCATAATGGGAAAATGCAAATCTCTGTATTGCTACCCATGTCTTGGTGGAAAAACGTGTAAATGTATACATACAGGACAGCCAGTGTGATATAGTGGCAAAGAGGCTGGCTTAGAAGCAGAGGGATCCAGATTTTAGTCTTCCCTTAGGCACAGAAATCAGCTGGGTGACTTTGGGCCATCATTCTCTCCTAACCCTAGACCTACTTCCCTAGATTGGGAAGTAAAAAAATATTTATGTACCAACCTGCACCGGACCTGTGATGTGTGTGTGCGTGCGCTTATATCTCTGTGTGTGTGTGTGTGTGTGTGTGTGAATGTATGTATATTCCCAATGCATTGTATCTGTGTATTCAGTTTTATATTTGTATTTTAATGATGATTAGAACTAATCTCTAATTGGACCATGTCATTGGAATTCTGGAAAGCCAATTTCTGATTGGTTCTTCATCCAGATGGATTTGTAATTGGTCTGATATGAAGAATTTCCAAAGGAGCTAATTTTGGTTACAAATACAAGAGCTCAGTTAGTTCCTGCTCAGTTGCCTGCGAGCTGCCAAGAAGTATGGTACAAGCAGATCTGAAGATGCCAATCACAGATAATGACAAAATGCTAGGTTACTAGATAATTATACCACAGCCTCGTAGCCTGGAAGCTCATCAGCATTGAACTGGTGCTGGCTGAGGAAGCCTGCATCAGTAAATCAGATTGTTTGTCATAGATATAACATAAGGCAAATTTTGCAGGAAGGTATTAAATCAGGATGAAAATAGTTTTTAAAATATAGTCAATCTATCCTCATGGAGCATTGTTTCAGAAACCGGAGAAGTATGAACATAGAAAATTAGTATACCTCCCTGCAATTTCATAATGACAGAATAAAACTGTCCAGATAATTGCTGAATAAAAATATGTCTGGGCACAGCTGTATGATATCCAAATTATGTTAATGCTTTCATATGGGATCTTATGTCATTAAACAGTAAAAATTCATGGAGATGTTCTGGCACAATTTAACAAATTTAGCTGAATGTTCCCAATTTTTCACCTTGATCATAGTAGACTGCTATTATATACTGTTATATGCACACACACAATATGCTACTATATGCAATAATAATATTATGGAACCCATTTGATCATTAGTACATGAAAAGGGTAATGTAAAAAGTGCTGGAGAGTGCCCAACGTTATAGAAGACACAAATGACTATCCATCAGTCTTGCAGCAAACTGCTAGAGGCCTATTTAGCTTAGCATTCTGATCAGTCAAAAGTCTACAAGAAGCTTACAAGCACACATGACATTAAGAAACCTTTTGGAATGACAAAAACTGCCTGTGATTTTATGAACCTCACGGATATTTAAAGAATAAAAGAAAAAAATCTGAATTATTGGCTACAACATCCCAATGCTGCCCTCTGTGTTACTGAAAGGAAGGTATTATAACACTCCTGTGTAAGAGAATCTACGCCCTTTTCCAGTGGGAGAAATAAAGATAATTTCACAAAAAGTTCCTACCCAGCTCTTTAATTTGAACTGGTAGGCAGATCTTATAATACCTCTTCCAGCTAAAAGCCATGATAGTTAAGAGGAGAATATTCTCTTCCTTTCAGCTAATAGATTTTCTTAAATGATCAGAAGTATAGCCAAATTTTGATACTGCTATTTGTTATTTAGTATTATAGCTAATTTGTAGATGTCTTCGATATGTATCTTGTTGCATTTGAGTTATATTTTTCTCTCTTCTATTTTTATGTATGTAGGTATTTATTCTTAGTCTTTGACTATAAATAAAAATTGATTATATATCTTGCAGTGCTCAGTTCTATGTCTTTCATGCCAATATTACACTCACAGACTTGAGCTGGGGCATGGCCATCATTGTTGTGGAGGAGGAGAAATAACTACACAGATTGGTGCTTTAGTTTTTTCTGTTGCTGTAGATTTCAGTTTGTGATCTGCAGCACTTTTTAATTTTGGCAAACATATGCAAGACAATATGTGTATTTCCTCTGATCAAGGCATCTGTGAATCACTGAATAGAAATAAATATGAGTGCATAAAAAGTTTTCTGTATATTACAGATATAGAAAAAAGAAAGTATTTTGTTAATTTATGTTGTCTGAGAGTATTAGTGTGCTACTGAAATAAATGTTTGTGAGGCAGTTCATGTACTTCTGATATGTTCACAGCAACAGTTCGCAATTACGGGTGATTCTGGATGTATGGCTGCTAATGCAACAAAGCAAAAATCTATAGATATTCTATTGTTCCCTCTTTAAAAAATTGGTACTCTTTGTGTGTGTTTAATGCAAAGACTGCTGGGAAAACACGGGGAGGTTTACAGCAGGAAACTTTATTGTGTGGGTTATTTCTAAACAGGCCCGTTCTTTTTCATTCAGTCTTTGCTTCTATGGCTTCTGTTCCTTAAAACAGCAGGATAAGAGCCATACACAGTTTAATCTTGCTAAATGATTTTATTGCAGAAAATGAAGGCTGTCCTCAGACCTTCTTTCCACTATATACTTCTTCACTCCTTTGCACTCATCGCTTGCTGCTGTTTTATCAAAGTGCACCTACCTTTTTTTTTTTAATGAAATTCTAAAATTTCAAAATAAATTCTGAAGATCAATTAGTATTTGTGGCTTGTGGAATTCTAGAGAAAATAATTAATTTTCAATAAACAAATGTGCATATTTGTGTATGTGTATACAACATTTTTATTCTATTCTGAATGAGAAAGATAGGAAACGTGAAACACGAAGCAAATTTTAAAATAGTACATTTGGTGTACGGTACTTTGAAATTCTGGAATTTCAGTTTAATTTTTTTAAATAGTGGGTGCACAGTGGTAAAACACACCTATGCTCAAGCACAGAACAGCTGAAGTGTTTATGGAAGTGAAGAGGAAGAGGGATCACTACAGGTTTTGCTTCCCACCCCCTCCCCTCCACTAATCACCATGGGACAGAGACACTTTTGGAAAACAGTGCTTCTGATTAAGTTTTTCTGGCCAAATGGATTCCAAGCCCATTTTAAAGAAATGTACAACAAGAAAATAGAGGCTGATTACTAGAGAATGACAATGATTTCTTGATGCCCAATGAAACTGCAAACATAAATCATGGCCAATGCACATTAAAAGAACCACCTGGAATACTGTGATCTAGTGGCTTTGCATGGAAACACTAGAAAGAGGTGAGCTATGCTACTGTGCCACCATTTCTGACAACAAAACCTTGCATATTGCACATGTATGATGATAAATATGCACACCCTGCCTTGTGCAAATTCTTCTTGGAAATACAGAGAGAGAAAGCATGAGCTAGTCACAAGTCCAGTGTTTGCCAAATCTTTCCTGAGTGTTAGGATGTTTCCTGGTTTTGTTGCTCTAGTCATATTTGAAAAATTAGAAGTAAACTATTGGGTGAGCTGCAAAGAATTCGAACTGACACATGCCTTACATTGGAAATAACATAGCTAAAATTTATATACAAATTATATATACATAGGGATACATACATACATATATTAAAACTGCTTACTTTAATATGGTTTGTTCACAGCTCTAATGTCTTTAACATATGTGGCCAAGTAGTATTTTATGGAAGTAACAGACATGGTTATTTGGTTATTAGGTAATATGGATTATACTTCATTTTTAGTCCTAAATCAGGAAATCTAGCAAAAAGGCAGTAGATGGGTTTGGGAAATTACCTTGTGAGATGGAACTGAAGATGAAGTGTGGGCCAGAAATGTAGGACTGGGTCAGAGCTAAGCATGGGGAGGTGGGACTAGATCCAGTGTTAATACTCCCTGGAAGGTCAGACTGCTTCCATCAGCAACTCAGAACCAGTGGACTATGTTCACTAGAGGGAGGAGGTGGCCAAGTAATTTGTCATTTGTTCCTCTATCTTTATGAAGTCTATACTACTACATCATGCCCTCCATAAGAGGGTTTGCAAAGGCTGTAGATCATATTTATGGATGGGCACATATAAGGAATTGTAACAAGGAAGTGTTAATTAGTAAGAAAAATAAGCTCCCCCTTCTACACATGAAAACATTCAGTCTGGACTTTTGCTCTGCATTGCTCAGGACCCTCCAACCCTTCTCTTTTTCACAGACAGAAAATTAAATTACAGTATGCTGTTACTGCAGTACTTAGATGACTGTTGAACACATTTCCTGTGAATGAACTTTGTGGGATCAGATTTGAAGGTGACACCAGATAGTAAAACTTGCTTTACCAGTAATTTATGGAAATGAGCTGCCCAAAGTCACCCTCTGGGGGAGATGGGTGGCATACAAATTGAATGAATGAATGAATGAATGAATGAATGAATGAATGAATGTCCAAGCCTTATCTTCTAAACCACACTATCTGGCATTACAGGAGGAGTAGAATTATTTGGGGGTGGGGGATCAATTCTCCAAAAGCATTTACTTTTTGTAGTAATAGTAGCAGCAGCAGCAGTAGTGGCCCTCAGCCTCATTTCAGAAGCCATCTCCAGAAGGTTGACTCAGTTCTTGGGTAAGTAATATCTGTCCCTTCTCTGCAGCTTTCTCCTTGGGAGAGAAGATGGCATCAGAAAGCAAAGGAAAAAACACATCTCCAAGAGAATGTGTGTGCCCGCTCACTTTTTAGCAATCCCTCTTTTTTATAATTAAACACTGACTACCACTGGAATAATATTCTATTCCTTTAAATAATGGAACAAAATTGTCACGTAGTTATATTCAATTACATTACTTCAAAATTAGGTGGAACAGCAACTGTATAGTGAAAGCTG